GTTTTAAATGATATCAGTGATTAAATCAACTCCAAGTATGTTGTTCGTATGTTTTGCATAGCTCTACGCTTAAACTATTTTTTATTATTTTTCAGAAAGATTGTGAATTTTTTTTTATTCATTATTGTCATCATCATCATCAGCCTCTTAATGTCCCCACTGCTGGAGCACAGGCCTTCCCTATGGATGGAATAGGGAGATTGGGCGATGACCCACCACGCGGGCCCAGTGCGGATTGGCGGGTGCTAACGACTGCAGATGCAACCGGGACCAACGGCTTGACGTGCCTTCCAAAGCACGGAGGAACTCGAGATAGATATTTTTTTTTTGTCACCCATCCAATGACCGACCACTGCGAAAGTTGCTTAACTACAACGATCGCAGCCGAACGCGCTAACCACATGCGCCATCGAGCTCCTCATTATTATAGTGAAAGTATACTATTCGATATAAAGTGTTTTTTTTGCATCAATCCCTTCTCAGGGGTTAATTGCATCAGATAAAGCCTGTAAGGTCCTTATGGCCATTCAATTTTTTTTAAATTCACGTACAGTAATCTTGTATATCTGCAGAGCAAGCATTACCTACTTTAATCACGTAGCTGTATCTAACAGCGCCTACTGACATGCCTGCCGCAGGGACAATCTAGGGTGTAAGAGTGGGGATGACCCTTGATTGCCTCCTGAATTGTGATGTGTGTAGGCAAGTTGGGGCAATTTTATAAATCGGGCCTACGGCAGAGCGGCAGGAGCACGAGACCACCCTTGGTTCCCAGATTGTCCCTGCCGCACTGCACGTTGCTACGTGTGTAGCGCGATCGGGGCAATTTCTCAATCAGTCGGTTGGTAGCTGTTACACGGAGCGCACGTATTTCCATGAAGTGCTCAGTTAATTAAATATTTGTTTTTAAAATATCAATAAGGTTGTGTAAAGTACATCCCGACCGTTTTTAAGTTAGTTTTAGTTTTTAAAACGCCTGATGTGAAAATTACATTTCAGCTCTACATTCCGTAGCTCTATAAAATTGCTAATAGTTGACTTCCAGCAATTTTGCTGTAAATATAATGCTAGGAGCAAAGAGTAGTGGACTCCAAAACCAGCAGTAAAATTTGTAGTTTATTGCATTTTGTCTATTGTTAACTCGTTTATAATCTCCAAAGGCTGATGTCTAGTTTACACTGAGAAAAACGGGATAGTCCCCTTCCGAGTTGGCTCACTCAGATTCGCTCACATACCGCTAGATGGCGCAGTCTGTTGGCTGCATCACGCTATAGAATCGTTAATCTCAGACAATAAGTACCCTAGTCGCGCTTGTCAAAGCATACTTACCTGGCATAGGGGACACCGTGATCAGGAAGGCGGTTCCCCCAGGGCGAGGCTCCTCCATTGCACTGCGGTGGGGTTGACCCCTGCGATTATCCCTAATGTGGATAACTCGGATGCGTAATTTTTGGTAGTGGGGACTGCGTACGCGCTGTCCCCCCGTTAATTAATAAAAATACATTAATAGGCTTTGGTTTGTTTTCTGAATGTCTTTGCAATCGGTCACAGCTATAATAATGATCGCGACCTTTTTAGATTTGCTAGTAACCTATTTCTCTTTCATGTTATGTGTATTAAACCTGAGAGGAATATTGACATAATATATAAAAATGCATACATACTAATGTCGTCGATTTTCGTATAAATAAATATTGATGTTATTATGATTGAGTACCAAAAAATAAGAACACAAATAAGTACTGTGACTGTTTGCTTGCAATAATATTTCAGTCAGGTGTTTTTTTTTTTGTTTTGATAATTTAGCTATAAATAATAAGAGAGAACTAAATAATATCGTTGATTTTGATATAAATAATGCTCATTTTAATCTCATGCTTATAAATAGTTATAAGGGCTGAATACTGGGTTCATCGAGGCTGATTATTGGATTTTAGAGGCTGACCACTGGGCAAACGTGCCATTTTTTGTTTGAATTTAAATATATATTTTATAAAAAGAAAGATTGTTTTTAACATATGTTGTTTAAAAACTATAATAAACAATTGATCCAATCATGTACTACGTTTCATTATTCGAATCCTGTAAAAATGCCAGCTTTCCAAACTTCAAAAAGTCGTTATGAGGCTGACCACTGGTGCCATTACCCTACATGGGAACCAAAACACGCAAAACCCATTATTGTTTCTTATTTATGACCACTTTCAGACATATGCACATTTTAAACTAAGTAATTTTTTGTAGCTTAGAGCTTAGCTTTGTGTTTTTGTTTTGATTTATATTATTCATTTGGTCGCGATCTTAAAATATTTTAATTACGTACCTAAGCACTTTAATTTTGACGTTTAAATTTACAGTGGTTGCAGCTAAATTGCGAGTGGCGCTGGCTTCCATACATTTTAATTGCAAATGCACCAAGCGAGCGACCACTTTGCGATTTACATCGGTAATACCGTTTAAGCGACTGTTACTGGTCGTAGTCGCATTGTTATTGTATAATTAGCGACTGATTGCTCGGTAATAAGCGTGCCGGTTTTCTCAGTGTAAACTTGACATCAACTTTTAGAGATTATAAACGAGTTAGCAATAGACAAAATACAATAAATTACAAAGGAGACCCGGCACTCTTCATAGAAAAAATGCTAAACTTGTATACAGTTGAATTTGATCTCAAAATAAAGCCAAAATTATTTGCTACATAAAACTGCTTTTGCCTTATTTTTAGTGAATCGTGGAAAGAAGTTATTTAAATGATTAATATTTTTTAATATAGAAACCCTTTTGATGACAAACCTACGTATTTGACATTGACAGCTAGCTGCTGCTGACAAATATTGCCAGTCTACGTTACCCAATTATGAAACATAGATAAAAAGATTAAAAAAGTATACAACTTTGGCACAAAATGCCGGGTGTCCTTTACTGAGGTTTCGGAGTCCACTTCTCTTTGTTCCTAGCATTATATTTACAGCAAAATTGCTGGAAGTCAACTATTAGCAATTTTATAGAGCTACAGAATGTAGAGCTGAATTGTTATTTTCGCATCAGGCGTTTTAAAAGTTATATCTATTACAAACCATTGTTCATAAATGTGAAAAATGCTTTGAATTTTTTTCTTCTTAATATCAATACGGTGGCATATGGAAAGTTTCTGGATATGGCTACTCACAATAAAAGTTCAAAAAATGGTAAATTTAAAAAATCAATAAAACCGACTGCTTAAATACTACTTCAAATAAAAAGAAAAAACTAAATCCATTAGTCTGTTCAAGTTCAAGTTCTCTTTCGACGTACCCTCAAGAAGTCCACGGGGAGGTTTCAGTAAATCCCCACACTTTTACTGCAACATGGGAAAAGGGGGATTGACTTGACTGCCACTTTGACTTGATTTATTACTTTGAGCACGAGTGCTATAGTATTTGTAAACATTTTAATAACAAAAAAGAGTTAAATTTCAGTTCTGTTAACTAAGGAACAAAGTTACTTTAACAGTGGGGACCCAGATTAGATATTCAACAAGAATGGATTTTTTTTTCCATTAATGTAATAAAAAGAATTTAATCATATTTATGAAATGTAGTCTTTTATATTGACTTTCAATTTTAATTCCTAATAGATTGAAGTTAGTTTGACTATAAATAGACGGGAAAGAGATTAGTAAAAAAAGTCAAAACATGATATTTAAACTTAAATTTAATGAATTAATAATATATTTACCCAATATCGTATAAAGGATAAATAAACAAATATTTTCATTGTAACTCTTCGAATTACTGCTAATAATATATAATAATGTCTACATAGTGAACGCGTAATGTCCGGTCAATTTAGATATTCAAAGGTGCATAAAAAACAGTCTAACCTAACCTAACCTTAGACAAAAATTGTAGATCATAAAATTGCCTATAAAAAGATATTTTTTTTTTCCTAAGAGCCACCGCTCCTCAGATATAACGATTTAAATATTGAATGCGTCATAATATGCATAAGTACGTCACGTATATACATACATCTCTGTAGCTGTACTTTAAGTAAATAATTTCTCTATTTTTAATTATACATAAGTATAATAATGATACTAATGAGCTGAAGCTTTTAAAAAAAAGTAATGTAACTTCACAAGAAATGATCACCAACCCATTTTCAGCAAACCCATTTTTTTACGTTTAACCTGGAGTATTTTTTTTTTCATATACCGGAACGATGGGGAATTTCTATGTGTTATTTTTAATTATGCTTTGAACTATTGTATTTACTTTCAGGTTAATTTTTCAAGAGGATCTCAATGGCGCAAATGGTTAGCGCGTTCAACTGCGATAATTGAAGTTAAGCAACTTTCGAAGTGGTCGGTCATTGGATGGGTGACCAAAAAATTTACTATCTTGAGTTCCTCCGTGCTTCGGAAGGCACGTTAAGCCGTTGGTCCCGGCTACATCTGCAAACGTTAGTACCCGCCAATCCGCACTGGGCCCGCGTGGTGGGTCATGGCCCAATCTCCTTATTCCATCCACAGGGAAGGCCTGTGACCCAGCAATGGGGACATTAATAGGCTGATGATGATGATTATTATTTTTCTATCTAGTTTGACCGGACTAGTAATGGTTGTGGAAGAATTCAAAACAAATTTCATAATAAATATAATTTATTATTATAGTACTCACAAATAATATCTATCCGTAAAAAATATATTATCTGACTACTGATGAAGCTAATGACTACAAAAATAGATTGACTAAAATATTTGGTCCACTGACATTACAATAGGGTATTTGACAAGTTTTAGAAAACGATCTCACATGATTGCCTATTGTTTATGGAGTCCGTAAAAAGACATTCATCATTCTATTGTGCATTTCAGTAAAAATAACCAAATCAAAAACTCCATTTTCAAGTCACCGCGAAAACGTTTCTCTGGACAATATAGCGTCTTACTAGTGTGTGTCTTAAGTCACACGACTGTTATTAAAACGTCAAACGATACAATGTAATGTCACTTTAACCGGAAGTTTACTTGCGTGTGACGTCATTTTAGGCTCCGCCAATCCCAAGCGTTTTGAGTCACGTGAGAATAGATAAGAAAACTATTATCTTTTTCGTGGGTTTTTAGTAAAACTAGTACAGTATTCATTCTAAACACAGATGCTAACATATGGCACTTTATTTTTAATACTGTCAAATACCCTATAATCTTAGATTAATAGAAAAAAATGTTTCTTATGAGGAGTTGTTATTAGAACTGCTTCCATTAAACACAGCACTAATACTCCCCCACAATAATTGCGCAAGACTTCCTAACAATTCCAGAAAGTAATAGAAAATGTTGTCATCGGACCCATCATCGTCTCCGTTGACGTCATCTAGAGTTAAACCGTCATCATCGTCATCTTCTGACTTACTATCTGCATCATTGTTCGTATCATTGCCAAGATTTTCTAGATTACTTTTAACAGGTAAGTAGCTAGAATACAATGTAAGTTTCTCCGGTTTAACGTCACTCTTTCTCAGCCCTTGCACCGAGAGTTCCTCTACATCTCTACCTCTGGAGATATCGTTGTCGACCGGAAGATAGCTAGATTTTGTCGCTTCTTCAAACCCATCGTCCAATATTTCGATCTTCTCCCATGAATGTTTAGTGGTCGTTGTCAAAGAGACTGTTTTGTTTTTGCCAAGACCTAGAAACCTGAAAGAAGTCACAGCTATAATTTCACTAACTGAGCACGCGTCGCGGGCGCGTTGAAATTTAAATTTCGTACGCGTGGATATCGGAAAAAAAATGTTTAAAATATAGGAATGTTATAGAAGAAAAACATACTTGTAAGAAAACAAGATTCAAAATTCAATATCGTTTATTCAGTGTAGGCTGTTACAAGCACTTGTGAATGTCGAAAAGCTACGCCATCGGTTCGCAAATCTACAGCGGGAGACCTTGTACTGAAAAGAACCGGCAAGAAACTCAGCAAGGGCTGTTTTTTTCTCCCTGTATTATATACAGAGTCGTCAATTTGAAAAATGACTTCAATATGAGATGACTCATGAAGTCACTTTCCATTAGAAATGTAAATGATAAAACAATTATGACTATAAAAAAAAAGTGTGCTTATGACCACACGACTGAAGTGAAACTTCTTTAGCTCCATCTATATATATATATATATTTCATTTATGCACTAGCTATAAGAGAAAGGGAGAAAGAAAATGTGCGCGCACACTGCTTCCTCTTGCTTATATCCCCCACTCTCCCGTTCGCCTCGCCCGAACACACTTTTCGTAACGCGTAACGAATTCACCAGCTTACCCCCAAGTCAAGGGTGCTTAAAGAAGTTTCACTTGAATAACAACATGCTACAAAATATATAAGAGTAGGTTGCATGGTTACCTATGAAGTGAAGAGCTCATCTTTGTAGACGTTAAATTATCTAGCTTATAATTTTGACAATAGAAAAACCGAAAAACTAACAAATAACTACTCATGTTCTGTTCCGCAACGAATGAAGTCTGGTCTTGTGCTATAAATTTCAAAATAATCTTCCGCCATGGATATCGTCCCCCGATGGCGTAGCTTCTTGACCTTCACAAGTGCTTCATCATCAGCCTATAAATATCCCCACTGCTGGGGCACAGGCCTTCCTATGGATGGAATAGGGAGATTGGGCCATGACACACCACGCGGGCCCAGTGCGGATTGGCGGGTGCTAACGACTGTAGATGCAGCCAGGACCAACGGCTTAACTTGCCTTCCGAAGCACGGAGGAACTCGAGATAGAAGATTTTTGGTCACCCATCCAATCACCGACCACTGCGAAAGTTGCTTAACTTCAACGATCGCAGCTCAACGCGCTAACCATCCGCGCCATCGAGCTCCTCTCCTTTCTCTTCTCCTCTAAGTACTTGTAACAGCCTAGACTGAATAAATGAATTTTTATTTTAAAGACACTGAGCAAATAATTTTACCAACCTGTAAATAGGAGACGTGATCCTCTCAGCAATGTTGTTGGCGATCTGGTGGTAGACGTCCAGGGGCGGGTGGGTGCCGCTAGTAGTGCCCTGCGTGGTGTACACGCTCACCACAGACTCCTCCTCCGCCGGTCTACTGTGGCATGGCTGGTACGCCTGTCAAAACAAATGGATTGAATTAAGCCTTGACGCACTATTATGTAAAGCTTGGCTGCTGGAAGCCTAATAGTAGAGGGATTTTGGCGTATACTCAAACGCCGCTGAAGAACATATGGGGGCAACCTTGTATCTCGTCAAGTTACTATGCTCTGTTCTTAGCTCATTTGATGAGGGTCAATCGTCTTATCGGTCGTGACTTTTCGTCCCGTCCACATCGTCGAAACCGTGACCAAAACAACTTCACGCAAACTCGTAGTCCTAAACAATGTGCGGATTTCTTTCACGCCCGGTCAACTGTGTTTGTTGTATAAAACGCAAGTGCAGTCCTGCGTGGAATATTGCTCGCACCTCTGGGATGGCTCCGCTAAGTACTTACTCGATGCCTTGGATAGGTTGCAGCGGCGCGCTGCCCGCATCATTGGCGCTGAAGAGGTACCTAACTAAGAAACTCGAGTCTCTACAATTACGCCGCGATGTGACATCATTAAGCGCATTCTACCGACTATACTACGGCGAGTATTCTGAGGAGTTATTCTCCCTTATCCCACCATCACCTTTCCTTCAGAGGACCACGCGCGCTGGCCTACGTTGCCACCGACTTACTGTGGCCACTATTCCTACACGAACAAAGAAATTTGGGGACTCATTTCTTTGTCATACTATTCGTAAGTGGAATTCCTTACCCGCGCACCTGTTCCCTCCTTCCTATAATCTGGGGTCCTTGAAGAGAGGCGTGAAGAAGCATTTTTGCAGGCCGGCAAGGTGAAGATGGTTGGTGTAGCAGTTTATAACTGCTGTACTAGCTATCTTCGCGTTTGGACTCTATCACCACTTAACATCAGGTGGGGTAGAGTCATTTGCCTGTCTTTTGAATAGGACCTACAAAAGAATTCACGTAATAACCTTCTCAGTATCTGACTTGTACAAATATTTGTTTTTACCTATTTTCTACACCTTCATGCGACCAACCCCACACTATGCAAACCGGCAGATTAATATTTCGTTCTGGACGTTCGACCCAATGTAATAAAGGGATCTACCTCACAATGTGCAAGTTTGTCCCCCTTATGTTATATTGACGCGATCGAGTAAATGCCAAAACTCCTGCTTAAGCTCCCCAACTATATAGATTAGATGTAATTGAAGAAATCCTCCCCTTTTAATTTATGTATCTGTTATGTACTGTCAGGATTTGGAAGCTCTACTCTCTTTCTCCGAAACGAAATTTCGGCAACGAACGAATTTTAAACGGAATTTCGCCAGTGACTCTACTCTATTTCATCTTCGAACAAGCACATAAAGTTCGGAATCACAGACAATTATCGTGAACGAATGGAATGAGTTATGTTTGTGAGCTATTTTTGTCTACAATTTTTAGATAAAGTTTTTTACTTCAGAACAATATTACTTCATGAAAATTTTTTGATTTATACAAACAACCTCATTTGACAGTGTTAGCCGACTAATTTGTAGAGTTTGTGCAATCGAATGTATGTCAACCTAAATTTGTCGTGTAACACTTTGAAGTATTGGCAATACAATAATAAACAACAATTTGATTTATTTGTAAATTTTTCATACTAAATAATGTTCCTCACGCTAAGCAGCCTTAATTAAAAATACTGTAGTTGTAGTTTTAGATTTAATTCGCACAAAAATCCCAAAACGAAAATGAAAAGGTAACGCTTTTCATTTCGTCAATTTGAGGTTAAAATTTCTAACAATTATCTGTCAAATTCAACTTTTAGTTCGAAAGTTTTGTGAATTAGAGTATGCTTGGAGAATTTAATTGACAAACTATATATTTTCGGACGAACGAATTTTCGCAATGAAATAGAAACAGAGTAAATAACGTGCGAAATTTCGTTTTTCGTTGAAATAGAGTAGGCCTCCTGTCATAAATTTATTTTCCTATTTACGACTTCACACATCTATGAAAAGAGCAATTTAAAAACCCTCTACAAAACATAACAACAAAAGCAACAATTAAATTACCGGTTTCATTTTATATTTTGGTTATTTAAATGTATTCCTCTTCGTGGGTTTCATAGGCAAATTCTTTTTCACTTTTATGCGTACCTCTGACGAGAGACACGTAGAGTCAAACCGAGTTACCGGGCTATACGTGAAAATAAAGTCTCGGGACTACGTGACGTGAATGTACGTGACGGTCACGTCACGGCCCACGTGTTCGCAGTATGGTGACACTTTTATAAAGATGAAATTTTATATACAACTGCTATGTAGAATGTTTTATGCATTTCTGTCAATATTTATCCTATGGAGAACTGTCGTGTCATTTGGTTAAATTTTTGGTGAGCTTTAGCTGTTCATTAAACGCCGCCATCCAATTCGATGTCCAGGCTGATTGCTAATTTATCATCATCAGCCTATTAACGCCCCCACTACCTTCCCTATGGATGGAATAGGGAGATTGGGCCATGACCCATCATGCGGACCAGTGCAGATTGGCGGGTGCTAACGACTGCAGATGCAGCCGGGACCAACATCTTAACGTGCCTTCCGAAACACGGAAGAACTCGAGATAGAAGATTCATGGTCACCCATCCAATGACCGGCCACTGCGAAAGTTGCTTAACTTCAACGATCGCAGTTGAACGCGCCATCGAACTAATTGCTAATAATTAAATCATCCCAATCAACCTAGGCCCAAAGTGGGCACTGTAAGCTTGTGTTATGGGATAATAGGGTAACGGATAGAATACATATACCGTATACATATATCTATATAGAAATACATAATAAAAATCCATGACTGGAGTACAAATGCTCGTATTCATTTCATTCATTTGTTTACTTGTTTATTTGAATTTGTGTGATGTACTGATGGGAATAAATGTTTTATCTATCTATTCATCATACTAACATCTGCCCCCAGCTGGACTCGAATCCGGAACCTCTCGAGCAGGCGACACCTTGAAATCCGGCGTAGGAACCACTCGGCCACGGAGGTCGTCCTCAACAAAACATAACTCACTCTATGTTTAACAACTTGACGTATTGGGAGTTTATTGAAGATGACTCAGAAGTCGCTCAGAGAGCTATGGAAAGGGCTATGCTCGGAGTATCCCTGAAGGACAGCATCAGAAATGATGTAATCCGTCAGAGAACCAAAGTCACCGACATAGCCCACCGAATCAGCAAACTGATGTGGCAGTGGGCTGGTCACATTAGCCGCAGAACTGATGGCCGTTGGAGCCGGAAAGTTCTTGAGTAGAGACCGCGACTCGGTAAACGTAGTGTAGGACGCCCTGAGACAAGATGGGATGATGACATTCGTAGGCTGGCTGGAGTGGGCTGGATGAGAGTGGCAGAAAATCGGGAGCAGTGGCGTGCATTAGGCTAGACCTATGTCCAGCAGTGGACGAGCTTGGGTTGATGATGATGATGACGAAGATGACTTATCAAGACTTTATTTTATGTTTAAGCAGGCAAACGAGCTGGAAGTCTACCTGTTGGTAAGTGGTCACCAGCGGCCAAATCGTCAGTCTTTTGAGTGGGTGGTACTGGAGGGTTCGCGTAATATTTCTGATCTGCCTGTTTGCATGGTGTGAGGGTAACCATACGAAGGGGTAGAATATAGGGGAAAGAATATTCAAGTGCATCAGACATTGAGAAGGTATGTTACGTGAACCTTCCACTAGCTCCTATTCGAGAGACTGACGATTTGGCCGTGACCAAAAGCAATGGCAATGACATGGCCAATTGCTGAATTTTTTTTTTGGCCGCCCCAGACGTTCAGCTCTACATAAAGGGCTCAGGTATGGTTGGAGTACTTCACTGGGTGCTAGGTTGCCCCCCTTCCGTTAATCTGCCGCGCCCAAGTAAATCCGAAAATCCCCGCGTGGTGCAGAACGCCAAACGTCAACCAAATCATTCAAATTAAGTTCAGCTTTTTAAGTTTTTACATTGAGGCGCTCTAGCGCAAATTTTGGCGCAAACTTAACTTGGTTAGTTGTTGTTAATATAAATATCACTAAAGTGTCTCAATATAAATCTTAGTAAAACACTCAAAATAAAGAAACTCAAGATATAACTATTATGTTTTCAGTATGATGAGTTTTAAACTTTAAGTTTGGTCTAAAGAAAATTTTAGTAAAAAAGATTCCACTAGGACCAGGCAGCAGACGGGACTCGAACCTCGAAACTCGATCTTCGCTATCCGTGCGAATGCACTGTCCATTATGCTACCGGGGCCCAATTTTTCTAGTTAAATTTTATTTAGATTTAAACATCCAGCAGTTGATGCTTAAAATATAAAGTAAAACTTTAAGTTTTGTTTTATGCATTGCCGGATGAAAACCGAAACACTTCTAAAATCGTTGTCCAAATAGAACTAGGTCTGACAACACGTTTGTAATACAAATCAGCAGGACCAAGTTTGCTGCAAATAGTTTAATTTCTAGAGCATGTCACAGCTATAATAAATACTTCAGGGGATTGGCTATATTTTGCCTTTCTTACAATCAATTTAGAAATGAATTATATAAGGTCATTTTACCCTAACACTTAGTAATTATTTTCTTACCATAAATTTTGATTATCATGTTTAGCCCATTCACTAACTCTAAATATTGTACGTAATCTTAAGTAAATTATTTAAGTGTATGAATGTTTCAGTCTGTGGAAACTTAACTGGTTTATGAAAAAGTAATAACTGTTACTTTATTGAATTGTGTAAAACTGTATGTTTCCCAAATGAAAATAAATAAATAAAGCACGGAGGAGCTAACATAAATGCTTAAAACTCACTTATTCGATGGTTAAACACAATGTCAATTGCCTAACTTGCAATCCCAAGCTACCATTTAACCACAACTGCGCCATTAGAGTACCACAGATGAAAAGTCTAAGTGCTCAATACATTTTATTAACAATAGAAGTGCACTGCGGTTTTACCTAAAATGGTTATGGTAGGTCATCCTTAAAAGATGAATGTAGCTAAAAGCAAAAAAAACGCATAACCACGAACCACG